CTCCCTTGCCCTGCCAGTCATACTTCTTTTGATGCAGTCCAAGGTACAGTTGACTTTCTGAGCTATAAGTGCACACTGACAGCTCATAGGCATCCTTTTTTCATCCACTCAAGTGTTTTTCTTCAGGGCTGCCCTCCGTTCAGTCATTACCCAGCCTGTATTCATGCTTGGGATTGCCCTGAGCCAGGTAGAGGACCTTGCATTAGGTCTTGTTGAACTTTAAGAGGTTTGCATGTGCTCACCTCTCAAGCCTGTCCAGCATTTTTTAGTGTTTCTCAGAGAAACTAAGAAACTCTGTCTGGGTTGATATGTGTGGTTGCAGACTATTTGTCTCCTCTTTCCTTGTAGGAAGCTGTTCCTCTCTGTTTCATCTCTCCCATGGTGTGACCATTGCCAGGTCGCCTCCCCTCACTGTCCTCTGCTATTTTTGTACAGTTCTTAGATCAACCGTAACAACCAACAATTTTGTTACTTGAGCTTTTAAGATTTGTATATTCCTTGCTGTGAAACAAGGTCTTCTAGAAGCTTCTCAGGATAGATACCCACTATTTATTTAGGAAGAAACATCAGTGCTGTTCACAGTGAGCTCACCGCGATGACAAGTACTGCAGTGGCCGTGATGGGAATGTTCACACTCCCTTCTTTGGGCCTGAATTTCCTTCCCATGCAGACTTTGCAAATTTTTGGCTCTTTCCAAGCGAATGGAAGCGCAGGCACAAAGTTCACCAGGACCAGCATTGTCCCCATGCGTTCAGTGGAGGAGATGTCACCGTTTCCCGGAATGCCTGCAATAACAGCAGTGTTATCTGTGTCTGTTACATAAAGCTGATCATGAACAACACCTGCAGTGTGTGCTGCCTTGTGCTGTTGTCTCTCCCCTCTGTACATCTCAGACACACGTCCATCTCCAGACAGGAGGGATTTTTTCCAGTAGGGCACATTTGCTCTGTGGGTGGCATTTGCTGTGCAGCTGCAAAACATCTCTGGTGGCGTGCAGCTGAGCTTTGTGCAGATGCCTGAGGAGCATCAGTCAATGGTGCTTTCAGGAGGGTCTGCGTTCAAAATGAATAACGCAGCAGCGAGGTACCATTTGTTTAGCAACACACCGAGCCAGGCAGCCTTTGTTTTCCTCCGTGTTACCAAATAAATGACAACTAAAAGCCTGAATTTCTGATTGTAATGTAGCACGTACATCAGTTTAACAAAGCCCATGCTGCCATAGGTGAATTCCTGAACTTCACCGTGGGTTCAGAGCCACTTGGGTAATAAGAGCGTAAAAATGGTTACCAGCAGAAAGATATCTTCCCGCTGTGTGCTTTTCTACAGCCTGCTGCCAGCACACGGGGACTCCTGAGAGCTAACGGGTTGCTCCCCTTGCTTGGTCAGTGCTGAGTTGAGCCTTTGTGCTTTTTAATATTATTCTTTCATCTGTAGCATCCCCTACAGATGGTATTTTGCTTATCCTGGGATGTTTCCAATCAATTCTGCTAGTGGCTGCCGTGGGGAAGGCTACATGGAGAGCACAGCAGAGCTGGGAGCTGCACAGTACTTCGGCAATCCCTGTCCTCACCGTGCTGCTGGGAGGGATGGAGCTGATATGCTGGGCTGAGCTGTCGCAGTGCACTTTTACCGAGCATGGGGATGCAGGAAAGGGTCACAAGGGTTGGTCAGATCTGCAGATATGTTTACGTCTGTCCTTTCCCATCAGGCTGGCAATTAGCACGTTATCTGCCCTTGTTACATATGAGATCCAGCTGAAACTTGTTCTTATGACACAGCTCGTTCAATCATTATTTTTATCTCTGTGTTACAGTTTTGTTAAGTTGCTAATCATTAAGATTCAAAAGACCGAATCATACTTATTAGCTAAATGGTCGTTGCACTTTAGTTAACATGCAAAATATGTTCCTGCACCATGGTTAGCTAATAACCAATATAATTAATAGCCCCTGAGAAAGCATCTTGTCAGCAAGAGCTTCGACAGTGTTTTCCTAATGTGCTGAGATGACAGCCATTAAGACTTTTCTGTTATGTCAGATAAATGGTGAACAATATCTAGTTTCCCACACTCGAGGCGTAATTTCAAAATTAGTTTGACTTTCCTAATCCAATAAGCTCGGGACATTTGGCTCCATTAACACTTTCCACACTCATTTATCACTGATTTTTCTGCCTCACTTCAACTTGTTTTTCATCATGGAGAAGAGGTGACCTCCCTCTCCCGACTCAAACAGCTGATGAGGATGAAACTGAAGCACTTCACAAGCAGCGACCAACGCTGTAGGGTCTGATGGTGCTCTGTGTCCTTATCTTCCACTGAAACCTACAGGGGCTGAGGAATTGCAAGGCAGGACAGCAGATTGGGAGTCAGAAGCAAGGCTCCCCGTGGGGCACATGTCCTGGTATTTGCGTGGCATCAGCCTGGGAGGAGCAAATAGCAGAGTTGCAATGCATATCTCCTCCTCCTGGTGCAAGTTACAGCTGGTTCCAGCTGGCTCAGTGTTCCTGGCACTGTCACACTGCTTGCCTCATACCTGCAGTGTGTGCCCAGGGTAATTCTGCCAGCAAGGCACATACCTTGCCCCGTCACATCTGCACAGCCAGGCAGAGCACATGAGTCAAGAGCGACCAGGGAGCAAGAAGAGGCAGCGTGATGGGAGCTGAAAGCATCCCAGGACACACAGCCCCTAATCACTGCAGGGACATCCCAGAATCCCGTTCTCAAGGCCACCACAAACAGGGGATGAGCAGCTGGTGCTGAGCTCAGTCTTGGGAAAAGCAGAGGGGAGATGGCAGCGCGCAAGCAGTGCCTGGAGCAGAGTGCAATGCCTAGGGCAAGGTCACAGCAAAGGCTCTTTCATCTGGTTCAGACCACATGCAGGAACACGGAGGGTCTGCTGAGCCCAGCATTGTCCTGTGGGAGGGATAGAGCAATGCCTCCCGTGTTGCGTTGAGTTTGCTGGCAACAAGGCTGTGTGTTTGCCCCAGAGCTGGCTGAAATGTGTGGCTAAAGCTGGGCTTAAATGAGGTGCTTCGGGGCACTTCGGGGGCATCTGATTTTCAGGTTTTTTAATGAATTTCTGATAAAGGCTGAAGGAATATTTGTTTCTGAAAAAGAGATATCATCTACCTACAGCTGCACCTCAGCAAAAAGCTGTGGTTTAGTACAGGAGATGTCTCGGGGCACACCCAATTAATCTCTCAATTGTAGAAAATGAACGAAGTTCACATCCTGACACTCAAAAAAGTGAACCATCATTCTGCTTGGCTCCGTCCTGCCGCAGCATGCGCTCAGAAGAGCTGGCAGCTCTCTCGTGAAGTACTTCATCGTAAGGCAAGATGCCCTAGAGCACGTGCACCTCATCGCACACGTGTCGGTAAGAAAACAGCGCGCACTCATGTACGAACACTTAACGGTGCGATCCGGGCACCGCTTATCAGCCGGCACAGAACGGCGCAGCCAGCAGCCTCTGCCCACGGCACTCCGCGCCGCGGCGGCCGCGCCGTGCTCCGAGCCCGCAGCGCCCCCCTCAGGCCCGGCGGTGCGTTCGCTCCGATCTGCTCCGAGGGCGCCCCCAGGCGGCCGAGCTCCGCGCTCGGCGCCGGTTGAGCCGCGCCGCTCTCCGTAGCGCCTCGCACGTGGCCGGCCGAGGGCCGAGGGGTGGGGCGGGACGAGGCGGGACGGACCAATCAGCGCGGAGGAAGCGAGCGGAAGCGGGGGGGCGGGGCGCGGGGCGTGGTGCGCGCGCTGCCCGCCGCCCGCCGCCCCTTCCCGCCGGCCGCCGCAGTGGTCGGGCGCGTGTGCGCGGCGCCGTGC